CCTTGGCTCAAGATCTGTATAGGCGACGGAGCCGACAATGAGACCCCTTTAAGTAGAGCTGACGCCTCTGGCGAGCTCCGGCTTGGGGATAAGAAAGACTGCCGAAAGATGACGAAGCAAGGGAAGTCCGGCGGGAGGGGAGTTCTCCAAAGTAGGGTCCTTGTTGTGACACTTAACGGTGGCATACTCCTTTTTGACAACAGGACGGGACCCTGTCTCGGAGAACACCCACGTGGTGGCAGGAAGAGTCTCTCAGCAGCCTCCGGCGAGATGCCAACTCAACGGTCCGACTCTAAAGTATGCTTAAGAGGCAACATCCGCAAAGATCTAAGCGCTGAAGAGTGTAGGAATGAAAACGCGAAGCTGTCGCCTTCCAATATCTTCCAAGGCCATCCTTCACCAAGGCAGCTGCAGCGACGACCTGCGAGTTCGTTGGGTCTCCTGCCCACTTTCCGAGCTGTTCATGCCTCGCAAACTTCGACGAGCATTAAGGGCCGTGGGGTGCCGCGGGTGATCAAAACAGCCCAGGGGCTGGGGGCTTGAGACATGGAGGCTTCACAAAATTCGGGGGCCATTGGCGGGGGCTTCCTTATTCTGGTAACGATGTTATCATCAAGGGTCTAGCGTAGGGTCCCTACCTTCTGAAACTCCCATATGCACCGCTCAACATCTTACTGCTACTTTTGTCTCCCTTCTGCACCTGGAACTGCCTTTATGATTCCTAAATGCTGCATCCCGACCAAGCTATACACCCCGATTGGTAAATATTGGTTCTTGGAGGATCCGAACATGTCACAAGATCACGAGTCGTTCTCCGTTTCGGTGGTGTTAAGGATTCCAGCCTGCAAAATTGGTTCGGGCTTGACTCGGGTTTCGGGGTTATTCAGGGTTGTGCATCCAGCGGGCCCAAGTAAGTAGCTTAAGGCAGGGGCTCCGGGCATAAAACCGTAAAGGGCTCCGGGGCTGTTGGCGGTTTTATAAGGGTTCCGTTAAGCATAAGGGTTCCTGTAAGGGTTGTGACGGTTTGATTTAGGGTTTAGGGAGTTTTAAAAGTTTGGGGTTGAGAGTGTCTTCACGATGAAATGCTGCTTTGTCGGGGGTGTTTATCGACGCTTCTGCAGCAGTCACAGAGTACTTGTGGGTGCTTGATGGACTCGAGCACAAAAAAAGTATCAGACAAACACGAACATGCAGAACTGTCGTGTCCACCAGTGGAGTTAAACACAGTATCTTCTCCGCTCCAACTGCTCCAGGGGAAGTGTAGGGTGTAGTCTTACAGGCCTGTGGGGCTTGAAGGCTGCATTCTATTGGTCATGTGTTGAGTATGCGAAGCAGGGGTTGCTCCTCGTGCTCGCGAGGCATGCTGCGCATGAAAATGGATCCAAACGTGAAGGCAAGCGAAAGCTAGCCAGGCCAGGTTCCAATGCGACAAGCCACAAATGAAGGCTTAAGCAATGAGAGCTCGTGCGAATCGGGGATGTAGAGGATCCTTCTTCAGAAGCCGCTTACCTTCTTGAGTGGTGCATTTGTCGTGCGTTTCTGCTGAGGAGCCTGGCCAGTAGATGTCAACAGCAAGGAGCTTTGTACTCTCTGCTTGCTGTCTCGGACGTTAGTGCTTCGTGCTGAGCTTGCACATCCTTTGGCTCGAGACTGAGACCCTGTAAACCCAATGCATCGAGGCGCTCTGGTGCTTTTAAACCCCACATGCTAAACCCTAACGGTTTAGGGTTTAGGGTTTAGGGTTTAGGGTTTAGAACCCTAATGTCTAGGCAGGTTGCACAGCGCCTGGCGAAGGCTACGGTAAGGGCGTTGGCTCTCGCGACTGACTCTCATTCAGTGACAGCTCCACAGCATGCTCCTGCAAAGCCGGACGCATGAGGTCTTGTGCTTCTTAGGTGGAGTTCGTGAGCTTATGCCATAGTTTTCGGCATTGCGGCTTAGCTGCTTAACTCTGTTAGTTGAATGTTTCCATGGGCGCAGTGCATCCTGGCATCTCAAATCCCTTCCCGAAGTCTCATCCTCTCTCATACCCGAGAGCCTTAAACGCCCCTCCAAACCCGTAGAACCCCTTAAAAACCCGAAAAAAAACCCGCAAAAAAAACAGTCCAAAGCCCTAAAACCAGCTCGGGGACCAGGAATCTCCTCGGGTACCTCCGCCTCCTCCACCTTGCAAGGCCGGGGTTCCCAGGCACTTCGCTCAGGACTTGCCGCACCTTCCGGGAGTCTTAGGGTTTAGGGGTTTGGGGTTTAGGGGTTTTTAGGGGTTATAGGGGTTTAGGGGTCAAGGGTTTAGGGGTTTAGGGATTTAGGGGTATTGGGGTTTAGGGTTTCAGGGTTTTAGGGGTTAGGGCTAGGGAGTTTCGAACTTGCTTGGAAAGCATCGAAAAGGGGTACTACGCGTATTTTTTGCGGCAGCACCAGCACTCGGGTACTAGGGGTTTGGGTTTTGCATGGTTTTGCGGTTTTAGGCTTGGGGGGGCCTAGGGTTACTATAACAGTTCATATAAGGGTTACTATACAAAGGTTAATTAAAAAGGCTTGGGGCTGTCTTAGGTGTCTCTATAAGGGGTACTATGGGAGAGTTTAGGGCTCTATAAGGGCTACTATCGGAGAGTGGACTGTTGCAGGATGCAAGCCTGTTGCTAGCCATCCATTGCCATCCCAGAGAACAGGCCTGCATGTAAGGTTTAAGGATGGGTGGGGTGTGGGGCTTACGGTTTCCAGGGCTTAAAATTCAGGGTTAAGGAGGTGGAGTACGTTTATGACCTGGCGTCTCGGCTGCGATCAGGACCTCGACTCTGACTGTGGATATTGAGAGGGATAAGCAGAAATTGGGGCAACTTTAGGCAAGCTTAACAGTTACTGTAGCTAGTTGTGAAAGTGTCAAAACTCAGGATCAGAAGTGTGGTGCGTCCTTCCTATCCTGACTGGGAACAGAACGCTGAACACGTCTATCTCACTGACACATGCTACCGCTTTTGGCCATGACGCGGACTAACAGCGGATCTCTGCTTCAGCGGCAAATGCTCTGAACTAGGCTCGGCCAAACTCTATCCTGCAATCCACAGAGATAGTCAACACACCAGACAACGGCACGCGACTAAAGCTGTGTTCGTGCGTCTGCACAGGACCAGAACTGGGGTTTGAGAGTCCGCACAAAATTCAATAACACCTTCGCAGTTCGAGCATGCTGGACCTTGCATGCACTCCCAAATCGTGTACTCTGAACTTGCACATTGGAACAAGGTGACCCCAATTGACCCCAATTTCATAGGATCCCTCCCACAAACGCCACGCAGATCACAGAACCCAAAAAGAAGCTGTAAGCCCAAAAGAAGCCAAGGTTGCACATGCATGCGAAAGCAGCCGGGGGCTACCTTAATATGATATATAATATGAGGTCATGTAATACAATACACCGTAATGGAACACACTGCTGAATTATATGCTTTATAAAATTTGCAAAGACGGTGGACGAAGCCTCAGAACCGACCCCAGATTCAACCCGAGCCTTGTATCGCAGCAGGCTGCTGCTGGGTCGCAGTGTGTTTGCCGAGCAGACTCTGTCTAAGAAACATAGCTACGGAACGGTTGATGATACTATATGATACTGCCAGCAACTACTGAACACTTGATGATACTACCATTGTCTTTCATTGTGACTCAGAGTCCTTTATCCTAGTGGGGTACCAGGCAACGAAGGCTCGAAGCGAGTCTACAATATACAGGGGCTGCACGAAGGATTTGTTGCAAATTGCACCCACGCTGCTTCTGAGAAAGGGCGAATATCTGTACTGTTATCAGGTTCCCGGCCTTGTTTTGCATGGCCTAGCGATCCCATGAGCTTCTGAAAGTCCTTGGCTCGTTGGGACTGGAAAAGTTTCTTTTTGCGGTTGTCCTTATTGAGTTTTTTTTTGAGGAGGGAGAGTTGGGGATATTATCCATGCGGCTTGGCTAGGACGAACCTGCATCGCAGGTGTAACTGATGGAAGGTTAGGGGTGAAGGTTAAGGGTTTTGTGGTCAGGGATTAGGAATGCTTAGATTTAGGGCGTTCCAGCTTAAGGCTTCGTTGCTTTAGGGTTTAGCGGCCTTGGCGCTTGTGGATTTAGGCGTTCAAGGGCATATTGAGCTTGGTTTGCGACTTGGCACTCAATCTCAAGGATTTCGGGGAGGGGTCGGTAATAGTCCAACGGCACGAGTCAAAATACACCTTGTAGCAGCAAAAAGAAAAGTGTGGACATCTCAGCAGGCAAGGACATGCTGCTGAGCTGTTTGACACCATCTCGACTGTACGGCTTTCTTGACATGATAAACAAACAGCCCCTGCAAGGGAACATTTGTACAGGATGCTGCCCCTCTGAATGCGTGCAAAACACACGAGCAGCCACTAGACATGCGCTCGAATTGGATGTGCATGCGTGGGGGTTCCTCATTCTGAAGCTGGCAGCCGGGAGCCATCAGGAGTAACTAGGATGAACACATGCCAGGGTTTGAGCCTTTTCTGATATGGGCGGGCGCACACTGCAAGCCAAGGGGCACTGGAAAATGCCTCTTGCATGCGCAGGAGGGCCTCGGGAACGTGTCTAGACTGGGGGATTGCTGAAGCGCTGAGAGCAACGACGCAATCTGACGACGAATACCCAGCATGTGTAGCGGAGAAGACCGTCGAGATCTGTCGAGCTTACTTATGTTAAGGGGGTATCTACAGGCTCTTATACTTGGGACCTAGGATCCGAGATAGTAGTTCTACAAAATCTACCTAGCCTTGAGGACTGGCTCTGCTATGGCCGGGTGTGCCCTTCGCCGCTGTAGCCCCACAAAGAAGGTAACAAGCAAGGAAAAGGTAACCAGAAGGGCACAATAGGGTACGTTGTTACAATGCACCATAAAGCCTTACGAAAGGTAGGGCGCTCGAACTCCTCGATGATCAAGCCCTTATACGAAACCCCTGTAGTACTAACTCTAGCTACCTTTGTGGTAACCCTATTCCGATTCAGAATTACTGCTCTGGTTTCCGGCAACAGAACCCTTTTAAAGGAGCGCTTGAAGTAGCCTCGGCAATGTTTTGCTTGACGAAGGCGTTCATGGCATTGAAGCCGCCGGGCATCTGGGAGACCAAGTCGTCGATCCTGAGGTTCGGGGTTTTTCCCACCAGCCCAGCTGGGTTTACGGCTTCAGGCACGGATTCCAGTAAGAAGTCTCTCCACGCGTATGAAACAAACGAAATCGAGCTCAGGCATGGAAAACCACCAACTAAGACCATAGACCTAACCAACACCAAGAAGCAGCTCACTTCCATCATAGCTGGCCAACTTGCTACCACCGAACTATCTCCAACAACTAGTAACTAGCTGAAACAAAATCAAGAGGGCCAATTCTGGGGTTTAGGTGTGAGCTGGGCCCACGATCGCAGAGAAGCTCATGAATACCGAAACTCCAAAACTATAAACCTGTGCCGGGCTTCATGTCCTTATCCTTTTGCACGGAGGCAGTTGCATCTTCCAGCTTCAATGTTGATAGCCGCTCGGCTATGCGCATGGCGACATCAACACCCGCCTGGCTCCAAGCTTCTCCATGGACCCACGAGAACAGCTTTGGCTCAGGATTTGTCTCTGTAGTCGCTTGTGCCGACAAGTGCATGCTGCGGCCGTTGCTTACCGTTTGTTGAAGCCTGGTCTCATTCTGAAAATCTCGCGTCTCGGGAGCACAGCGACAGCCTAGCTGGTCCGAGTCCGGCTGTTCAGGGCCCGGAGTGTCTAAAGTCTAGAGGCACCAGTAGGCCGAAACGTCACACTACCGCCGTGATTCTCGTGATACTCACACGACTTAGAAGATACGATCAGCCGGGAATGGAGTGAAGTCGACAGAAGACCCACTAAGAACCCTTGCACATTGCACGCAATACTTTCGCAACATCGGCGATATTTTGACAGGATCCTGAACACCAAGTGCAAAGCTTGTATTCGCCCTCGCACGAGCTCGCGCATGCTCCAAGGGTGCAAACCTTGAAGATGATGCAACGACCGAGGTTTCGCTCGTATCTGATAGTCATGCCACAGACCAAGAACCCGCCAAGAAGAGCAACCCTCGGATAGTGGCTGCGACTGCACGGCGGCCAAACAAATTGAACTGAAGCTCCGAAAAATACCCAGCAAGGCACCTTGCCCTTGTGCAGGACACCGGTGGCAGTGCACAGCCAAAGTCCTTCGGAGGAGCGCGGGACGTAGTACAGCAGTGCTTCAACTTCAAGACTCAAGACTGGAGTTTAGGGCTCTAGGGTTTAGGGTTTGAAGGGCTCAAGCTTCGAGTCCCATGTTGGGGTTGGGGCGCTGAGGGTCCTGACACCGGAACCCTTCTCCCAACGCGCAATTCCGTACATCTCAGCCCTTTGCGAGCCTCACTGGCGAATTGATCCTGCATTCGGAGACGTGCAAACAGGCCTCTCGAAGGAAAATGGCAGGTCCAAACTCAAACTTGACGGGCAGAACCATTCTCAACCACGCACTCACCATCCCCAAGACTGATTTAATACCGTCTCTACTTTCCCCAAAGGCTCCTTCGAAACTATTTTGGCGATCGCCGATTTCCTTCGTCTGCAGCACCTGGCAGGACACGCACCCAGCCCCTGCAAAGAAACAATTCAATTCAAGCCATTACCCGTCGCTGATTGATGCTAGCTGTGGCGGCGGTGGATCGTCGTCGTCGTCTTGATCGTAGTCGTAATCGTGATGGTCATGAATGGTCGTCGTGATGTCGTCGTCGATCTTATTCGCGGTCGTGGGCGTCGCGGTATTACAGCAGCAGCCAGCAGATTCATCAGCTGCAGCAGCATCAGCAGCAGCAAGCCAACAAAGAGGAGATGCCGTTGCGAGCGGCGCCCGTCTGTGTACTACTTAGTTCATTAACATGTAAGTACTTGGCGGGTTCGATAGCCGAAGCCTCGAACAAGCACCATGCTCGTGTCAACGGCATCGCTTCGTCATCAAGGATCCTTAGTCACAAAGTCTCAAAAAACGAGCACATCAGCAGGGCCAGGGCCAGGGCGTCAGCCAAGCTGACAAGTGCAACCAATCTCGCAGAGAAGGGCGCTGCATGCTGCACATTCAAGGTCAGACAGGAATCCAGATGCATAGCTCGAACGTAGAGGTGCCACCCGGTCACCAACACACCCAGAGCAACCCGTAAATCCGAGGAGCCCTGGAGTGCTCGTGTGAAAATTGCTTACAGGAGGCATGCTGGCTCATCTGGGGTCTACGGCTCCGGTTCGGGTTTGTTCAAGCTTTCCTTTAAGAGAGAGTGCCAAGGGTCATGGCAGTTCCAGCGCAATACCCGCAGGTCAGCGTCAAATAGAAGGATGACTCCTCCCAGCTTTGCCCGACCTCCTCTGCCACATTCCATTGATTGTTACCTTGGGCTTTGATGCTTGCCGCAAGACCCATACAGCGCAGACTGTTTGAAAAACCTGAATCCAAACATGTCAGCGGGGACACCTCAAAGTTCTGTTCCACACGCTTTGCCAGGATATGCTGTACATCCCATGACACCCTCTTGAAACCCAAGTGGAACATGCTTCGCTCGAAGGCTGAGGGCACATCGAAAATGAAATACATGACCCCCATGTTTAGCGGTGAGGACCCTTGGGGTGTATTAGGCCATACAAACTGGGCCGCTCGAGGAATGGAAAACGGAATGGTCTGAGTTGACATCGGGGTTTGATTGACTAGCAATGTTATGCCCTTAGAGTCCCTATAGATATATATATATATGTTTTACTTTATTTATTTATTGAAAGATACACTCCAAGCCCTAGGCTGACTCATGAGGCCCTGATCGTCATAAGGCTCAAGATTCAGGGGAAACCGATCCCTGAACACATACATCCAAGCCCTTTGTGAACCCGTGCTGAGCCAAGGCCAAGTCCTAAATCCTGAAACCCCCTGCGCCCCAAAAACTCCGAATTCTGGAAGCCCAACACCGAAATTCTGTCAGTCAATCTCAACCCTACTTGTAAGTGATTGAAACCCTAAATCGACCGAACCCTGTAGAAAGCCTAGACAGAATTCAGCGGAGGCGGCTGAGGCTGCAGATCCAATACGTGCGATCGGCCCAATTGCCAATCTTAGATTACCGCTTCGTTGAGAAAGTCTTCGCAGCATTTCAGCTTCAAAGGCTTTTAGAACTTTCGGGGATGTAGACAGGGATTTGAAAGTTTAGGGTTCGGGACTGTCGATACGAGTACACAAAGCTTTGACCGCTTTGCAGATGCGAGTTGATACTGGGGCCTTAATGATTGGAATCGGATTTGGGGGTAACTACTCAGACGCCAGTATTAAGGCAGACAGTATTAAGCCAACCTCCTGGCGCACTCCAAACCCTACACCCTATAGCTGCCCTAGTTCACTCATGTCTTTCTGATTGCTACTTTCCAACCCTCTATTGTCACAGTGACCGACCAATGTCGCAACCACGAAAGTGGCGAATTGCAAGTGGTGAGGCACGTGGACTGCAAGAGAAATCCGCAGCTGGTCATAAAACCAGGCTGATGATGCCAACTTGCTAGCGACCTAATTAAATATAAACATATTGCGAACCTTAAAACAAGTCCCCGGCCGGGAGGACCCATGAATGATGGGGGGCCGGGCAAGTAACCATAGTTATCATCACGACCTCGCCTTGCCTCTCTTCCTCTGGGTTTGGTTCGCAATCTCCACAGCAGATCATTGACAAGCAAAGAAGCAAATTGTGGGTGCAGTACAGTTGAAGCACAGAGGCCCCAAGAAGCTCTTGCATTCAGAGCGGCGTAGTTGTTCGCCACGGCAACGCTTTCCGCATGCTTCCGGATGCTGAAGACAAAGTGGCGGAAGGATGTGCCCCAAAAATGCGAGATGAACCAATTGACTTTGTTCGGACCTGCGGGCATGCAATTCGACCATCATGCACTTCGAAGAGAGGCCTTTGGCAACGTCCAAAAATCAAACACACTGCAAGAGGATGATCTTTAATACCCATACCCCTACTCTGAGAAGCCCCTGAACCGCCGGCAAAACCACGCACACTAAAACCCTAAACCCTATTAGACTCCCCTACCTAAATGGGTTCTCAAGCCAAAAACAGCCCAAAACCTGGGCCTGCGAGCTCGGCGTAGGAGAGCCGTCGGCTACGGGTCAAAGGCATCACGAGGTTGGAGACCACGTAGTACATCGTGCGGTGCTGCCCTGGGCTTTCGGACCATTCGAACGGGGTTCCTTCCAGGGTGTCTTTAAAGGGATCTAAATTTAAATTCTATATCATGGCTTGGAGATGGTCTTGGGTTTGAAGGCTGCAGAGTTCGGGGTTGTTCAGGGCTTTTCCGGCGAAGACAGACGAACCGACAAGTAAGAGCAACAAGACCAAGCCGAGCCCTTGTCAGGACTTCAACCGGAAAGAACCGAACATGTTCGATCGTAGGAGACAGCCCAAAGCCCGTGGGATACCCAAACCACAAGTACCCGAAGCTGGCCAAGTCTCTGATCAAGGGCTCGAAGGTGGAGTAGAACTTCCACCTGGTCTGCGGGGCTCAGACTGGTTTTGTGGGACCTTCCAGAACTTCGCATTGTCCCTTGTGCAGTCTCCGAGGTCCCAGCAGAACATCAGCTCTAGGGCGGGGATATGGCCGATATGGGTTCAGGGTTTTAGGATTCTCTCTCTCATGAGCAGCATGCCAATTCGCCAAGACTGGCCGACGGGGCATCCTACAGAAAGATGCATTGTAGCATGTTTTCCTACATTCTAGTATGTGTTAGTATCTTGAAGTATATAGTCGCTTTTTATATAAGATTCACGTATATTAAAACATATCACAGGCTCACTCTCGAGCCGGCCCGATCTTCAGGGTCTCCGGGTTTCTCAGGGTTACGGATCGAGCCTCAAAAGCCCAGCATGCCTGAACCTGAAGTAGCAGTAGCAGTACAGTAGTAGCAGTAGCAGTAGTAGCAGTAGTAGTAGTAGTAGTAGTAGTAGTAGTAGCAGTAGCAGTAGCAGTAGTGGTAGCGCAGTGGAGGCAGTCATAGCAGTAGTGGTAGTAGTGTGAACAGTCTCCAGCCACAAGGAGTCAGGGCTAGCTCGTCCAGTTCGATGCCTTGTTGAAGCATCCCAAAAACCCGGAAGCAATGTACCCTCAGCCCTGTTCTGAAACAGACGGCCGGGAAGCAGTTGACCGGCTCGAATCGCCCGGCCGGGTCCCCGAGGGCAGGGCTTTGGGTCAGGATTCACCTGGGATTTGGCGATCTTTGAACTTCTGGGCCAAAAAATTTTTGAATAAACCCTCCTGTCCTAAACCGCCTCAAGCCTCCCAAGTCGGAGACACGAAGTGGCTACCAAGGTTTTCGCCGAGGGCCTTCAGAGTTAAGTCTGAGGGCCTTGAGTCGCAAGGTCTCGGTCTCCAGGGCTCTCTTCAGGGTCCGAGCTTCGGGGTTCTCCATGCTTTGGTTTCGCCTGGGGTTTAGGGGTTAATTAGGGTTGAGGGTCACGGAATTAAGGTTCTGTAGTTTTCGAAAACTCGGGGCTAGAAGATGCGTCTTGAACACTCTTGCTAGAGGGTGCAGCTTTTCAAGCCGGCCTTTTGAACTTGGAGTGGAGCATCGGCAGTTCAGTAATCCTTGAAAGTGCGCGAATCGGCAGCACATGATGAAATAAGTGTTCAATTACACCTCGACGCCGATGACAACAACCATGGCGAGAGTGATGGAGGGCAAACAATGATAGCGACAACTGAAATTCGAAAACTCAATCATCGCCTGAAAGAAATGACCAGCCAGACTGGCATCAATAGCAACTATACTCACATCCACACTAAACCCTGAACCATAAGCCCTAAACAGAGCCAAATTCGAGGTTGGTAAAGGTAGCGAAAACCATAGCTACCTTTAGTAGATGCGGTGGTAATAGAAAGCCACGGAGTTCGAACTGAGACCTGGCCGAAGACCACCGGACTGACGGCAGGGCGCTTTCTTCAGCTCTCTCTGGTGCTCCTGCGGTGTTGGTAGACGTGTTGAGTTGAAAGGTTTTGTGGGTGATCTAGCCCCTGCCTCCTTAGTCAAAACCTTACGCCCTACAATACACCTCACGGCGAGCGATCTGTTTGGAGTCCATGCTCCTAATCTTGGCTAGGAGGGGTTCCAAACGCAGGTCAGGCAGGCTTGGACTTCATCGTGGTTGCATATAGCATACTCACACACACACAGGGACAGTTGGCTTGCTTGTGCGGGGACGCATGGTCTGCTTTCATGGGCCAAATGAAACCATGACTTGCTATGGTGGCATTGGGGCCGAATGAAACCGGCACTTTCCTTTGCGAAGGACATCTATGCCTCCCTGGCATGTCTAGTGCACCAAGTTTGTCCTTGTCAGGGTACTACAATGCATGGCAGCGAACCGAACGACCCTCGAGCCCTAAACCCTCTAAGCCTTAAGCCCTAAACCCTGTTTTTGCATCCAGGCCCATTGCGACTGCTGTACCCAGAAACTGGGCCATTCAAACCTGCAACCCTAAACCCCTGTTTTTTTGAGCAGGGGCTGCAGCGCACATTGCCCTGATCCTTCAGCTGCCGCAAAACCCCTCAACCCCGAAACCCTACAACCTCAACCCCCAAACCCCCTAAAGCCTGCAATCATGAACCCCAGACCCTACCCTAAAGCCTACAATCCCGATCCTTAAACTTTCCTGCCCTGGCTGCTTGGAGGTTCAGGGGTAGTTATAAGTGGGGTTATAAGTAGGGTAACTATAAGCATAACCCATATTAGGGGACATATAACTCCACTTATAACTAACCATGAACCTCCAAGTGTCCTTGAGCTTGTACTCCCGCAGTGTCAGAGGAGTGAAGTTCCAGCCGAGTGCTGCGAGAATCAGGGCCAGGACCAGGCCTGGAAGACAGGGTTCAGGGTTTAGGGGTTTAGGGGGTTTAGGGTTTGTAGGGTTTTAGGGTTTAGGGTTGAGGGTTTAGGGTTTAGGGTTTAGGGGTTTAGAGGTTCAGAGTTTAGGGTTTAGGGTTTTAAGGCTTTAGGGGTTTAGGGTTTAGGGTTTAGAGGTTCAGAGTTTAGGGTTTTGGGTTTAGGGTTTATAGGGCTTTTTTTTGGAGACTCACACTCGGACAAAGCCTGGCAAGGTCTGCAGCGATGCAGTCATGATAGGTCCAGTGACAACACATCAAAGTCGGGGTCACTTAAGGGTTTTGGGTTTAGGGGTTTAGGGGTTAGAGCCTTTACCCCTATGTAGGGGCCTCAATAACAACCAATACTATGTCGGGTTTCCTTATCTAAGCATAGTATAAACGGCCCCAAAACCCTATTCTAATAAGTAAGGCCCCTCTGTTAAACCCTAAACCCTAAAGTTTAGATTAAGGTTTAGGGCTTGTGGCTTCAGGCCTTCAGGAACATTAGGGGTTCTTTCCCTCCTACCTAGCAAGGACGAGCCCTAATTTAGAGAACTACCCACATGATGGCTAGAGAAGTTGAAGTATAGTGAGCTCTAACCTCAAGAACCAGAGGTTGCGGTGGGATACGAACAGCAGCTCTGGCGGCTCGTGTTTCGGCTATTGATGACTGGACCTGCTTCTCACATCTATCTATCTCCCCATCTACTTTCTATCTATCTATCTATCTATGTATTGTATAGGCATAGGCAGACAGATAGATAAACAGATAGATATCGAGAGAGGGAGATCGATAGGTAGATAGGTAGATAGACAGCTGGATAGGCAGGCAGGCAGGCAGGCAGGCAGACTGACAGACAGACGGACAGACGGACACAAACAGCTACTCTTATCATGATCATCATCGCCAAGTCTCCCCATAGACAAATCTCTAAACCTCAAACCCCCGAGCCCCACCTCACGTAAGGCCCTCACATACCAAACTGACAGCGACCACGAGGGATGATAGCAACTGTATCCGGGTCCCTCTATACTCCGACTTTACCAGTACAAGCGCGGGGTCTAAGGCTAAGGCCTGACCCAACTTACACTTGTACCCTGAAAGAGCTGCTTACAAGAGTTGCCCAGCATTTCGCTTCGGCCGCGCAGCTAGCACAAGCGCAGCCCACCACGAAGCGTGCTTCCAGTAGAGAAGCCGTCGACTCGGGGCAAGGAATGAATGGGGGTGCAACCATAAGCATTGTAGGATCCCTTAAAAATTCCTTTTACGGGCTCTGTAAGGGTTGCATAATTTAGGAGCGGAGACCGTGAGGTGAATGCTAATGCTAGCACCTAAAGGCCTAAAGATCTCAAACTCTCGGTCATTGTCACGACAGGTTTCCGCCACTAGGCCGTTTGTTCGTGGTCGTTTCTTGTCATGAGGATCCGACTGTATGGTGCTCTTGGGGACTATGTTGTAAGGGGTCCCGAATTTTCTGAAACTCCCACCACAGTAGTCACTGCCTCTAAGTATTCACGCAGATAGGACATCGTAGAGCAACTGCCAAACTATAGTTCCACGGAGCCACTCAAGATCCATGAGAAACAGTAAGACACACGTCGACGACACAGCAGCCGTAAGGGATCGAGGCAATTGAGGGGTAGCGCCATCTGAAAGTTCCTGGTTCGTTCTGGCAACGGCCGGGAGTGTTTCAACAATGACATCGACGGCACGATTCTGATTCCGAGTTGATTGCACTTTTCGCGTGGTGGCTATATTGGTGATGAAGAATCAGGATGTAGTACCAGGTAGCTGGTGACGGATGTCGTGGGACCCCGCTCCACCCCAATCGAAGTGGTCTGCAAGACGAGGCACAGTGAAGATCACCAAGTCAAGCACCAGCCACCTCAAGTCTTTCGACACTTCCACTCCAACTAAGACCTTATCAAACCAGAAGAAGGCCCTTATACTGTGGATCCCGTTGGGGGTATCTCTGTTGTTGTGAAAAACAGGAGCTGCCTGGCATTGGCTCGGGATGGAACCGCTTTTTCCCTTCTGCGAGAAGGACAAGATGTTTAGATGTAGCAGGGGAGAACCCGAGTTATCTCAAACAGAGAGGACACTTTGATTGTGCAATTGCGACGATGGCATTTAGCAGCCCTCTCACCTAACGCCTTCGTGACCACTATGGGGGGGGGTGTATATATACTTGGCATTGTCGGTCACGAGTTTTGTTTAGCCTCTCGCGCACAGCAGTGCGACGGCAAGAAGCACACAACTGGCCTGATGTCATTTACTTCAAACTGACT